TCACTTACATTAAGAAGAGTTTATTAATATTCCCGGTGTCTATGCTTGAAGAAACTACAATCCAAGTATAGAAAGATAATGCTACTATGATATATTACATTAAAAATGGGGAAGTGTACTTGCCTCTCGTGAAGTAATCTCTCTCTGGGACTTTTATCTTGGGCAGAAAGGTCCCATTGTTACTTGATATTTTCTAGGTTTTCAGAACAGCATACTGGAACAGTTCAGGAGACAAAATGTTTGGTCGGGGTGTTAAGTCTGAAGAATTTACCATTTGTCAATAGCATCTTTGTGTTTTCCAGGCTACCTTAAGCTCATAGACTAGCAACTTGAACAATATGTAGCAAAATGGTGTATTTGTAACTTGCCCGCTATGGAAATAGATTCCTTGGGTGAAGTTTTTTACAGTTCTCTAGCCTTTATATACAGGTCTAATTCTCTATTATCATGCCTTATGTAATCATTTACACCTGTCCAAAGTTGGTATAAACAATTACTTTTCTGAGTAGGTATAGTAGTCTACAGTAATTGGCAACCATTTACTATTCTACAGTAACTAACAGACATTTACTTCTGTGGAAAGTAACACTCCCTCTGTGTGCATTTTTATAAAGACAAAATTTTAAAAGTAAATAACGTGGAGCTTATCTCATTTGGGTTAGAACAGTAGTTCTTTTGCTATACTAGCAACAGTTTAAGAATGAGATAAAATGAGATAACATCCATTCCAGTTTAAGTAACTGTCCAGTCTAAATCTGCTAACCATTTTTGGCTATAAGTCTTGGGTTGCTTTGACCCCCCCACTCCACAATTTATTAACAGCAGTAAACATACAACCTGCTAAAAATCAGTAACTTAAAATGTCATTAGATAATATTCCAGATCTTTTCCACAGAGCTGAAAGCGTGTAGGCACCGTTACTTTTGTCTACACCTCGTGGGCTTCATGGGAAACATCTTGGGGCCCAATCTATAACTGTTATAAATCAACATTGCCTTCGGGTGAGGTATACTGATGTACCTCAATTCGGATCTGGAACTTTATTATCTGCAATCAGCCAAACTGGTAGTTCTGAAAATGTGGTATTAAAGGAACTCCTGAGTACCCATCCAATATACCTGTAGGGATACATCTCTAGTTTATTTTGAAATAAGTTGTCTTTAGGAAGGGTGCAATATTTTCTTGGCAGTCCGGAGTACTCCTGGAAGTACTGTTTTATAGCAGAAAGTTTCATAGATTTCTTGTTGGGGTTGGTATTATAAAATTCTTCTTTATATTTCCAAATACAGCCTCTGTATCAATTTAGAAGTACATTCTGGAAAGGCTTTGCTTTATTAAAAAAAAAAAAAAATCCTCAAAGCTTTTTTGAGCAATTGACTGGCATTTAAAAAAAAAATCTAAGCAGATGGCATTTCCACCCTGTTCTGAGCAGACGATAAGCACAGTGATTATGGTCCACATTATCTCTTTCCTGGGTTTTGCCTTTGTTAACTAAAATAACAGCAGCAACATATAAACATCCACCTAAACTTGGCTGTTCCTAGGGTTTCCCCTTCTCTGGGAGATGCCTCCTCTCCTTTTTCTGTTTCTACTGGATCTGCCCATCTAACCTCAGATTTGGGGGGTGGGGGAAATACTTTTGGTTTTTTAAGCAGGATTCAGTCTGTTTGTATTACAAATTACCAAGCAGGAAGACCCTGTGTCCCCATGTCCAGGTTCTCGTTCTAAATCTCCTTAGTATATATAAGGGATTTTCTTATAGAATATTGAAAAATATAAGCCCCATGTTTTCATTTTTCATATTTAAAAGCATCTCCCTTTTTCTAACAAGAAACTTCATATTAGAACAGGAAATTGGAATGACAGAATTCTGAGATTTGAGGAAATTCTGCAGTGATTTTGCTTTTTAGAATATGGCCTTTCTTTCAATTTCATGCTTTATCTTTATTTAAAACTTCATCATATTTATGTTTTATGTAGTCTTGCATCTGCAACATTCAAAATACACATTCTGTTTTTAACACAGCTCTCTTTAACTCCTATACATAAAAGCAGCATCCACTAAGAATCGTCTATTTTATCAAAATCTGATCATATGGCCTGTGTTTTTTTTAAATAGCAGGAAACTTTCAAAGTGGCGGCTGTATATTGCCAGAAGTTAAATTGGCTATGTTTTCAAAAACCTGCATATATAATATGCTTTACTCTCCTCAGGTTCACTTTACTCTTGGACTGAAGGGATTGAATTAAACCCTCTGAACCCTTTTATAAATGTGTTTTAACCAGGGTTAATTGACTCATTATTGTTTTGATGACAACTCATAAGTAATGTTCTTTCCTTACTATCACGTGGTGATTATCTTTTTTATCCTTTCTGCCTTAAAGCAGCATAATGCTATTGCTAAATTTGGAAGTATAAGTGGTATTTTATATCTGTTCCTCTGTATGTTTATTATGCTGATCTGAAGGTAGGAAGAACTGCCCCCTCCTTAATAAAGGAATATAAAAAGGGCTTCAGTGTGCTGTATGAACCTGTTTTATAAATGTTTTTGCTTACTTTCACTTAAGACAGAATTTTGTAAGAATGGCATCAATCTTGCATCAATAAACATGTTATAAATATTATTCCTTTGGAGTCCACATAGGGATTTTTTACTGTTTTAATGATAGTGAAGTTTTTTTTTAAGGTAATATTCTCCTTTATAAACAAAGGCATTGTGGTTTAAGAAACAACAGTCAATTTGAAGAAATAGTATAGGTCTTTTAGTTCATGGACATGCTTTTCCTTTCTTCCCCATAATGCTCAGTTTCCCAGTAGATGGCATCTCTTGGCATGTCTCTCAAACAGCTCAAATGTTTTGCCTCAACCCTTGCCTTGTAGGCCACTCCACACATTTATTCTTTGCTGCAAGAAAATTGTTTCCTGATGTTTAAAGAAGATTTCAAACAGACTTCCACTTTTATCTCCTCCCCCCACTTTTTAATCCTATCATCTGTACTGTTGTTTTGGTATAATTTATGCTTTTCCACACTAAGTACCATTTTATATGTTTTGATTACATTTTACATTGCTCCTTGTTTTTATTTTTAGATTTAGAAATATAATGCCTTACATTATGAAAACCCGCCTTCTCATTTTTAATAATTCATTACTGGCCAACATTATCTTAAAAATCCCATATTTTAATGAGAGGACAGTTGTTCAATCAAATTTGAAAATCTCAATTTCATGATTTCTTTTCCCTCAAAATCTGTATTTTTTAAGCCTTCTTTCTAGTTGTTAGCATTATGTTCATTTTCCCCAAATCAGCTGAGTTACACATACAATGAACCCCATTTTCTTTTAGGTACATTCTTTAGTTATTTACGTTTTTAATATACTGGTACACTTCCCCTTGTTGTCCTGTAGATAATTCCAGATTTAAAGTTTTGAATTAGGCCTGCATACACCATTACCACTAACATCTTTGCATGTTGATGTGATCTGAAATTCTGGTTAGCTAAATAATTGGATCTTTTCATTCTGGATACTGCTGGTTAAATTCCTTTTGAACATCCTATTTTTTGATCCTCAAGCCTATTGCCTGAACATTACTCTACTCCAAATTTTTGTCTGACAGCAACTGTTTGCTTCCATGCTTTGTGAATTGAGTTGAATTCTTTTTTTATGACAATATTCAATTTAAACATATCCAGAAGTGGTACTCGTAATTCTTGAGCAGGGCTTTATCACTTCCGATTCCCAGGAATGAGTTTTCTGTTTAATGTGGAAGACAGTTCTTTGTTCAGACAATTCTATATTTTCTCTAAAACCAAACAAACCATATCCTTTTTTTTTTTTTTTTTTAAATCAGTGCTGTTTGTACTGTTACATTGAGAACTTATTGCCATCTTTCTATGTAGTGGCAAATATAATTTAATTTTAAAAGTGTATCTTACTAAATCCTCCTTGCTTTTTTGTATCTACTTTTTTCTATGCTTTTGGTATGTTTATTTATTTCCTTTTCTTATAGAAATAGATCACTGAGGCTGTGAGGTTCCACTGGTTGTGACTACTGTGGCCTAAAATTTTACATATTTTTTTTTTTTCAAATTGACTCTTTTAGGCAAGAATTGTAAATTTTCCACACTGATTAATAGGAGGGATTTTTTAAAAAAACATGTTTAAGGTATTTAACTATTCTTAATCTTTTCCCCCATAATTAATTTACATTCATTCATTATCAAATAATGACTTTCCTTTATTAACTGACCATAGCATATGTATCCTTGTCCTATCTACTTTTTCACACATGCATACTTGCCTTTTGTACAGAAGGCATGAAAAATGTCATGGAGAGTCAAGCTTAAGAAGAGATGTGCTACTGTCTGGAGATAAGGTCTCTATTTAAAAACCTCTTTCCCTTTCCAACTGCTAGACATGGAAATAATTCTGGGATTACTGTCAAGGACCTTGAAGCTTGTTGGGAGGCCAGGTGGGGGGAAGCAGGGGAATGCAACTTCATATAACTTTGACTAGTAAGTGTTTAATAAACCCTGAGTGTTCTTGTGATTCTGTTGTTTTGTTTCTGTCTCTAAGCCTTCAGACTGATAAGAATAAAAATGATCCCCTTGTAGGATATGCTTAGTGTTACAGCTGATCAACATCTAGTGAGGTTTGCTTTTCTCTTGGGCTTCCTAATAGCTTCTCTTTCAGTTAATAAGACCCTTATTGGTTTTAGTTCTGCTGTAACTTGGTCATGAACGCTCTGTGTGAACTTCCATCCTATAAAGACATTAACAGTAACTTGCTTTCATGATGAATTGTAGTGTGAGATAACAGCCTTTTATTTGGGATACAGCTGCTGCAAGGTAAAATACCTCAAGTATGTTATCTTCAGTAAAGGCAGAATTGCCTGTAGTATGTTTTTAGAAGTTGTACATGTGCCTGTTTTAGCAATAAGTGAATTGTTAGACTATTATTAATAGCAACTGCTTTAATTTAACTTTAATATTGACAGATTGCCGTCTCTCCTGAAATATCTAGAAGACTGGTGAAACTCGAAGGAGGTAAGAGTACACTGAGGTGGTGTTTTCTTTTATTGTGTACAGTAGAAAAATGTTATTTAAAAATATTCTTTTGATCTCTGAATAGATTGCTGTTTTAATGTTGCACGATGCACAGTTTTCAGAACTCTAATTGACTCTAGTACTTCACCCATACAAAGGTCATTAACAGGTCTTGGTATGGGATAACAATTTTAAAGTTCTTTTATTTCTCCCTTTCATTTAGCTCTTGGACACTATCATCTCTTCCTTCTCCTGACACATTTCACTGTTCCTCTTGTTGGTTTTTTCCTGCTCTGGCGGGCAGATTTTGAAGCTGGGACCAAATTGGTCTTGCAGTACTAGACGAGAAAGCTACACTTGTATTTGCTCCCTCTACCTCCTGCTGCCAAAATACTTTTTCCTTGCCTTCTAGCAACTTGACCTCAGAAGAGTCTGTGAAGACTAAGTACCAGGGCAAAAAGATGCCTGGTTCTGTGTTTTGGGGGAAATTTTCTCTTCCTTTTCCTCCCAATCTTTGTCTTTTGAGTTGATCTTTTTAAATCAAGAGCTTCCTAATCAGAGCAGAGGAGCTAAGTGGTTTTTACTTGTGTCTCTCTTTTTTTTTTTTTTAAGCCCATTGCTTAGCTGCAAAAATTTTTCCCCCAAAGCCACTCAGTTAGACATTTACTTCTTTGTAGGGTGACTTTTATTTCTTTTTTAATGCCTCAGAAATGCTTGCTATCATAATTATTTTTTTCCTGAAGTGTGTCTCCTTCTAGTGAGAAAAATATAGTTGCTTGTCCCTCTAAGAAATGGTGCTTCTCTTTAGTCAAACACCTCAGCTGAAGAGCAAAAATGACCACTCCCCCCCCTTTTTTCCCCTCTGGGAAGGACTTAACTTTATCATGGTCTCAAGCATAGATTCTTTAGTTTTTCCCTTTGCATGGAGCTGTTAATTGCTTCAGTCCAGAAAGCACAGTATGGCAATACCAACAGTAAAAACCTTTTCCCAAAGAGTGCGTTCTAATTTGGACAGCTTTGGCCAGTGGTGACTCTGTCTGTTAGCAGTTTGATTACATTGATGAACTATTTACAGTTACTTTGTTATGGATATTTTTATTCTGACGTAATTTTAATTAAAATTATAAAACATAAACAGATATGCAAATTCAGAAAAAAAAATTCTGACATACGACCATGTATACAGGAATCTTCAGTGTTAAAAACAAAATTCAGCTTTGGGAACTGATTTAAGTATGCAAGATTTCAGAACAGTATCAGTAATTGAAAACCTGCTGTTGGATTAGGAAGTTATTGATGCTCTTTTTGCAGTTGCAATTATACTGTGTAGCTCTGATGCACTGATTCCTTGTCCCAGTGACGTATAGACTGAGCACTGTAGAGTAATACCTTGGTTAACAAAGCAGATGTGTTCCATGATGTCACTTCTTTACCAGAAACTTCATTACCAGAAGCAGAAATACCATAGGAGGCATAAGGATGTGTTTCAGGATGTCAGAGAAGGGGGATACAGTAGGAAAATATCATTAAATACTCACAAAGATAAGTGATAAATATTCACAAAGCTACTCAACTGCCAGGGCTATGGACCTGGGTGCACAACCCCCTAAACCCGCCCTACTGCCTGCTCCGGGCTTGGGTGGGGCAGCTCCCTGCCACTGCGTGCACTTCTGGGGGCTCAGGGGATTTGAACCCCCCAGCTCTATGTGGGGCAGGCTACAAGCTTGGACTCCCCCCCTGCTTCCATCCCCCAGGGCCTCTGCAGCCTGGCACAACCTGGCACAGCAGGGAACAGTGGGACCACGCGAGGATCTCCTCATCACTGCAAGCTCCGCACTGCCTTGGCGACACACCCCCTGTGCACAGGGCTGCAGTGAGAGCAGCAACATGGGGTTGTGCCCCTCAAAGCGTCACACACCAGGGGTATGTTGGTAGGGCGGCATGGAGCTCGCAGCAGCGCAATTACCTGCATGGCCCCGCTGCTCCCTGCTGCCTGGGTCATGCCCAATGGGATGTAGAGACCCTGGGGGAAGGAAGCAGGGTGGGAGCCTGAGTCTTTAGCCTTTGCCTACCCTGCATACAGATCTGGGGGGTCTCCCCTGCCCCCTGGAAATGCACATGGCAATGGGGAGCTGGCCCTCCCCCTCTTCCAGATGAGACACCTGTGGCCCCATCCTGCTTGCTGCTGGGGCCCTGCTGCTGCACATTGTGGCCCCAGGCCCAAAGGCCTATGCATTACCCAGCTGGGCAGCATCCCAAACCCTGCCCAGCTCCCTCCCTATAGGGCTCTCAATCCCCTTCTCTCCCCCACATACTTGCTGGAGCTACTCTGCAGGCTGCCTGGGACCATCTCCATGCACGTGGCGCCCCCTGTCTCACCACCTTACACCCACTCCCTCCTAGCTCCCTGCAGGCTGGAACTCTGCCAACCTACAGGGAGCTCGCTGCAAAATTCGCAGGTTTCTCTGGTAAAACGTGAAATCCGCATTTGCTTCGAAACATTTTTCAATTATTTTTTTCATAAAAAAGGCCAACTTCGTTATAAAGGAGCTTCATTCCCAGAGGATTCATTAACCGAGGTATTGCTGTACTCATTATTGTGTACATTTGGATCTGTGTATTAAGTAGAATTTTTTTTGGCATTGCATTAATATGATAATACTGTAGTAAATGTTGACTGCAATTCCAGGCTTTTTGTTTAATGATAATTGCTTTTTAAAGTTGATTCCCATCTTGAGCTGGGGAACATGATTCTCCTATGGAAAATAAATGCTAATATTCTTAAGTTCTGGACTATGGAAGAATGGCAGATCTCGCGAAACAAAACAAAAAACATGCTGCACCCTGCACCTAGAATAGAATTCTGAAAATACTTATGAAAAAGCAGACTTAAATAATATTAAATGCATGCCACTTTCTTTTAGTAACCTGTTCTGGAAACTCAGGTCATCCAAACTACAGCAAACCAGTCTGGTAGAAACAGTTCTAGCATGTAAAAATATTTATTTTTAATGAGCATAACTACTATGATAAGGCTGCATACTTGTTGTATTTCTGTTGTTTTGTTGAATTCTTAATATAAGGTCTATTGGTACCAGTGACTATTGTTTTCAGGCAGCTGTGCTAATTTTGGCAACAAATTCACCATTTTATGTTCCCATTTAAGTTGTTGAGTTTGATCTACTATAATTGTATTGAATAAAAACCCAAATTATGTATATTGCATGTCTACTTGAAACAACTTTAAAATTGTTAAGGTAAGCCTATTTTAATGCCCCAGATTTTTTTTAAAGAACAATTTTGGACTTTCTTTGGCGTAATCCAGTTTCTTTCCTTTGTAAGATAGGGAAGTGTCATCTGCAAGGTTGAAAGGAAAAGCACAGTGATTCTGGATGCAAATCTGTGTGTTTTTGTATGACAAGCGGGCTCGAATGTCTAGTTCCATTACTTTGTATTGTTGAACCTGAATTGGAACGAATACATTTCTAGGTAAGAATTTTTCAGTATCTGCAGGTGTGTGGTTCCTTCTCTACAGTGTTTGAATGAAAGTCAGAGAATCTCTATAACCCAAGATAAAGAATATTGTAATGCAACTGTACTTCTGTTAAAGCTTCACTTTGGCTTCTAAATGTTGAGGAAAATAGGTCCACGCTGCCAATGATTCCATCCTGGCAGAAGAAACTCTGAATGAAACAACTTGTTAAGTAAAAGCATTAGTCTGCTTTGCAAAAAAAAATAAAAAAAATGTTGAGGCATCATGAAAGAGAAGGAGATCTCTTATGAGAAATCCTGCAGAATCCAAAGGTGCAAAGAATAGTACGACTGTACTCTAGCTGCCCCCGGGTCTGTTTCTCTGTTACAGTTCTCTGCTAATTTGGCCACTGTTTTCAATCTCTGAGGGGTACAGAGCCTGAAGAGAGAAAGTGTCAAGCACATAATTAGGCTCTGGAATTTTGGAACATTTTTTATCAAGAAGAGGATGCCATATAAAACTATATACTAGTTCTAATGTCAAGCACACTGTTCCTCATCACTAGGGATCCTGGTTTTACCTGATAAAAAAAATCTCAGATTCTCCGATTTAAAACCCCCCCAAATCCCTGATTTAAAATGAAAGCCCACCCACCAGCTGCCAGGGCTACAATGTCAGGGACCCGTGTCCACAGCCCCCTGCCCCCAGCAGGAGGTGGCAGCTCCTGCAGAGTGAAGCCTAGCTTCTCCCCTTCCCCTTCCACACTGCCTCCTGCTGTGGGTTTGGGCAGGAACGGGTCCTATCCTGGGGGGGTGGCTCCCTGTGCCCCCAGATCTGTGCAGGGTGGGGGTGGGCTACCACCCTGCTGCCCTCCCCCGGGGCCTCTGTAGCCTAGTGGGTGTGAGCTGACACTGCGTGGCAGAATGAGACTGTGCAGAGAAGGTGCTTGGAGCTGCGAGCTTCATGCTGCCATAGCGATCTGTCCCCTGTGCATGTGGCAGCAGCAGGGACAGCGGTGCAGGGTTGTGCCTCTGAGTGCTGCCGCCCGTGCAGGGGGTGCCTCACCAGGGCAGTGCAGCGGCAAGAAGATTCCCACTCCCAGTGCTAGGTCATGCGTACTGGTCTGAAGAGGCCCTGGGGTGGGCAGCAGGGCAGGAGCCCAAGCCTGCAGCAGGCAGTTCACACTTGCCCCACCCTGCATACTGATCTGGGGGGTAAGCCTCCTTTGCCCCCTGGGATTTGCGCAGTGACAGGGAGCTAGCCCCACCCTCCTGCCCCCCAGACAAGCTACCCTCAGCCTCATCCCGCTCCCCATTGGGGCCCTGTGGCCACGCATTGTGGCCCTGGGCCCCAAGCCCCACACACTGCATGGCTGGGCAGCAGCCTCAGCCTTGCCCAACTCCCTCCCTCCCTTCCTATGGGGGCCTCAATCCTCTCTACACCCCCCCTTACCTGCGGGAGCTGCTTTCCAGGCTGTGGCAGTCACGTGCATATACATTTCCTTCTTAGACTTTTTGAAAGGAAATATGCTGTTTGAACTAGGCTCTCTCTCAAATGATGAATCAAATGAGAAGGGAAGCCACACTTTTTCATACAGCATTCATGTTGATAATAAGGAAAATAAAAGTAGTAAATTGGTTAGAAGTAATAAAACAGTCCATAAAATGTGAAAGTAAATCCCTAGGTTAGCTTTTCCCTTCTTTCTGTCAGCAGGCTACCTATGAATCATCAAGCAGGAAATGCTGCACATCAAATACTGCAAAAAAGTAATTTGTTGCAGGAGGAAACATTAAATCTATCCCACATTCTGAACCAGGGGGGTGCCAGTCAAACAGATTTGGTTCACCTGCAAACAAGAAGCTCCATGCCAGTCTGTAGTTCATAAGTACTGTCGGTGTTAGAGCTGAGATGGTGGGTAAAAGCAACAGAACAGCAGCAGCTTATTGTGGAATGCTGAAGTATTCATAAATTTGAGCTCAGGAGAGACCACAGGTATTGTCTAGTTTGGGGTGTCAAACTCACCCTGGGCCACAGGTTGGCCAGATCTAAACTGCAGCTGCTCCTTCCTGGCCAGATTTATGGGCCCACATTCAGGTGACAGCATGGGCTTGCATTTGGGAGGCTGTACAGAAATGGGGGATTGTGTCTGCAAGGAAATGGGTCCATAGCAGCACAGAGCTCTGACCGGGAAGCAGCACACAGCTGGAGGTGTGCAACAGCAGTGCAGTTCAGCCAGAACTCTGCACCGGTACATGCCTCTTGTAGATGCATGCCTCCAGCTCTGTGCTTCATTAACATGGGTCCTCACTGCTGCACATCCCCAATACTACCAGCTGGCCAGTGTTTAGGATGTGGCATGGAGCCATGGGTGTGTAGTTGCACAAACATGGCTTCTTTCAGCTGCAGGCCTCTAGTTCCAATACCCACAGGTAGCAGCATGGAACTGGAGGCATGCAGCTGCCCGAAGCCAAGTTTGCAGAACCGCTTGTCCACTGCTCCATACTGCTGTCTAGAGGCGTGAAGCTCTGGCTGGTTGGGAGTGTTAGGAGCATGTGGGATCTAGAGCTAGTGCACTTTTGGTAGCCCATCAGACTACTTGTGGACCAGCTACAACAGATATATGGACTGGGTGTTTTACACCCTTGATCTAGACGGTCTAAACTCTTGCAGGAGTGGACCAGAGAATTTTATTCAGTTACTCTGCAGTGGAGGGAGCTGTTTGCCATTAGGCTAATAAATATGTCCTTACTATATGTTCAGTTAGCACCTGTGTTTTATGCATTTTCGTCTTTTGATTTTGTTGATTTCTTTTCTTGTTCCACAATAAGGAGATCCATAATAGAAGGACTCTAGGAATATAATGCAAAACTATAGAGCAAACCATTTCTACAGGATTGTTAAAGGACTAAATTAAACAGATGCCTGCCTTGGAGCAAAATCAGCTCTGCTGGGATTTTTCCCTCTTAAATGCTTCACTGGATGACACAGATGTCACCTCTTGTCCTTATAAGGTCAGGCTCTTGTTGCTACCAGGGCTTCAGGGGCTCAATCCTGCAGGAAAACTGCAAATGGGGAAACCAACAAGAAGTGCACCTTTGAAAATGGGGGACCTTGGAAGATTGGAAACAATGCTGGAGGATTCTCAGAGCATGTCTTTACAAATGGGGGAACCTGGGCAGGTGCCCCAGAGCTACAGGGTGCTGATCCTGCATGCCCCTGTAAGGACATCCTTAGGGGGTCACACCTCTGAAGCAGTGGGAATGTCTATTATCCCACCATAAAGAAAACAGATATCTGAAATACAGCAGCACACATTTTTACTATCTGTTGTTATGGCCACAATTTTGGGCAGTTTTGGCATGACAAGGGGCATGGACATCTGTTTGCTTGGGCTTTGTGCCTCAATAAACATTTTTAAGGTAGTACAAAAGCAATGTCAGTTTTCAGCCTTGGTTCAATTTTAGGCTTCATGGCACTTAAGCAAGAGAGATGCTTGCTTAAGGGAACGTCCCAACTTCCCTTTTTGTTGCTATTAATATCTGAGGCAGGGGAATGCCTATATAATCTGGGAATGATGCTTGTAGGTTTGGGTGGGTGAGTGCGGAGTGAGGAAATTAGACTGGAAGCATAAAGTGTAGACATTTTGGGGGAAAGTGGAATAAAGAACAGGAGTGAAAGAAAAAAGGGAGTAATGCAGAAGAAAATTCTTGTATGTATTATATGGAAAAAAGGAGGAGTGAAGAGGAAATGAGGAATAGCAGAAGCTCAGCCAGTGTAGTGAATGACAGGTTCTAAGGTTATTAAATGGAAAGTTGACTGACAGTGTTAGTCAAATACAATACACTGTTCTTTTGTTGGTGTTTGGGCATAGTGCACCCATCTGGTCTCGTATAGGCACTTGCTAGCAACCTTAGAGTGCACACCCAGATCCGTCCATGGGGTGTGTCCCGGGGACTTGTGTGTTGGGTCATGTTCACCCCTGAGGGAGGCCCTGACACTCACCTGCCGTGACTTGATCTTGTTCTCTTCAGTGGTGGGGCTTCCCCTCGCAGATTCTCACAGACTGGGAGCTGTCCTTTGCAGGTGTTATTGGGGCTCCACCTTCCCTACACTGTAGCCATGTGCCAGCTCTCAGGACAACTGGATGGTGAACCACCGGCATGTCCCTGGCCTGTCCCCCTGGTGTTTCCTACTGCTGTTGTCCTTTCTTGCCCGTCCCTTGATGACCCTTCACCCTGGGTGACCAGACCATCCTTGCCTCAGCGTCTGCTTTCCCCTTTTGAGGTGCTGCAGTTCACTGTGTTGACTCTGCTCTTCCTCTTGACCCGGGGCGGGGGGGCACTTGGAGATGCCTTCCCCGGTCCGGGTTCTATGTACCCTCCAAAATGATAAAATAAAAGAAAAGGGAAGAAAAGAATAGGGTATGGGCCTCAGCCCGCCCCACTCATGGATCTGATGTCTCTGATCCTCAGGATCCCTCAACACCATCCTCCTTGATCCGGCTGCCCTGCCAAGCCTGGTGGGTATTCTTTTTAGAGAAGCCGGGACCCTTCCTGTGGGTCCCTGTCTGGCCTCCTGCCGAGCTGACAACTCTGCCGCTGTACAGCCCAGGGAGCAGCTTTGCCTTCTGGTTCCAGTGTTACTACCCGGTCTCTGTTTCCCACCGCTGGCTTTTAAATCAGCCAGGCAGCGGTTTTTGATGATGTCATCTGCTGGCGCCACTCCCAGCCAGAAATAAAAGTGGCTGATGAACCGTGCTGGCAGCCCTTCTTGGTACGGCTTGGCTTTTTTCTGAAAAAGATAAGTGAGTCCTCTCTTCAGGGCTTTTTGTTTCTTCCTTCAGGCAGCTCAGCCCTGCCTCAAGTCCCACCGTGAGAGGGTGCTCTGGGGCCTCCATTTGTGTCCACCTGGGGGACATAGCTTATATGGACTTCCATGATGTATGCACACCACTAGGTTTTTAATCTCTTTTTGTCAGTTTATCTCCTGTGAGGTCATTTGTATTGTATGACAGGTA